ATAAAGAAAGGAGCTACCAAGCTGCAAATGTACTCAGAGGAATCCTAAATGCACATTGCTAAGTGTAAGAAACCAACCTGGGGGAAAAAAAGAAAAACAGTTACTGATAAGGTTCCAACTGTATGACATTCAAGAAAAGGCAAACACTGGGGACAGTTAAAAGATAAGTGGTTATCAAGGATTCCACGGAGGGATGGAGAGATGAATAGGTAGAACACAGGTTTTTGGTTTTTTTTAGGACAATACGAGTCTATATAATGTACTATAATGGTGGACACATATCATTATTTGTCAAAACCCATAGAAGTGTGACACAAATATTGTACCCCAATGTAAACTAGAGTTCATTACAAACTAGAGTTGTAACAAATGTGTAACAATGTCAGAAGCTGTTAAGAGGGAAAGCTGGAGTGAGGAGTAGGCAAATGGTCATATTCTCTGTACTTTCCACTCATTTTTCTGTAAACCTAAAACTACTAAAAATGTATTAACTTTTTATTTATTTTTTTTATCTTTTTTTTTCCATTTATTTTTATTAGTTGGAGGCTAATTACTTTACATCATTGCAGTGGTTTTTGTCATACATTGAAATGAATTAGCCATGGATTTACATGTATTCCCCATCCCGGTCCCCCCTCCCACCTCCCTCTCCACCCGATCCCTCTGGGTCTTCCCAGTGCACCAGGCCCGAGCACTTGTCTCATGCATCCAACCTGGGCTGGTGATCTGTTTCACCCTAGATAATATACATGTTTCGATGCTGTTCTCTCGAAACATCCCACCCTCGCCTTCTCCCACAGAGTCCACAAGTCTGTTCTATACATCTGTGTCTCTTTTTCTGTTTTGCATATAGGGTTATCGTTATCATCTTTCTAAATTCCATATATATGTGTTAGTATGCTGTATTGGTCTTTATCTTTCTGGCTTACTTCGCTCTGTATAATGGGCTCCAGTTTCATCCATCTCATTAGAACTGATTCAAATGAATTCTTTTTAATGGCTGAGTAATATTCCATGGTGTATATGTACCACAGCTTCCTCATCCATTCGTCTGCTGATGAGCATCTGGGTTGCTTCCATGTCCTGGCTATTATAAACAGTGCTGTGATGAACACTGGGGTGCATGTGTCTCTTTCAGATCTGGTTTCCTCGGTGTGTATGCCCAGAAGTGGGATTGCTGGGTCATATGGCAGTTCTATTTCCAGCTTTTTAAGAAATCTCCACACTGTTTTCCATAGTGGCTGTACTAATTTGCATAAATTTTTAAAAAAGCTCTGACAGTTCATTTCTTAACCGTGTAACCTTGAAAAGAGGTTGCACTGAACAATAATACAAACTGGAATCTTTTTACAACCTTCATTGAGCATCCAAAATGAGATGCTCCCCAAAATCTGACTATTGAATGATGCATGCTTTATGATGATTAACTAAAACACTTGTATAGAAAGTTAAGAGAGTGAAGGTGAGACGTTAAAATGTGGGTGCTAGGTAAAAGACACCCATCTGAATAGGGGTTAAGAGTATGCCAACCCAAAACCTGCCTCTTTGTAATATTTTCAGGTAAAGGCCCCAATGCATGAAAAGCTCCAAAAACAGCACAGGCTTTCCTTCTACAAAGGAAATTTCCATTTATAAGGGAAATTTTCATTTGTAAAATGTGTCTCTCCTTTAAAAGGAAGACGAACTCTTATTTAACTTTGACCTCTAACACTGTGTGGGTGTACAACTATGATGATCTCTATACATATATCCTGCAAACTGATTACCACAATAAGATTAGTTAATATCACCTCACATAGTTAGCTAAGATTTGTTGTTAGCAACTTTCAAGTGTACAAAAAATTCACTGTGCTGTACATTAAATCTCCAGCACTTATTCATTCATCCCTTATAAGAAGAAATTTGTACTTTATGACTATTTTCACCTACTTCCCCTGTCCCTAGCAGATCCCACATATAAAGGAGTATATTATTTGTCTCTCTGACTTATTTCACATAGCATAATGCCTTCAAGATTTATCCATGTTGCTGCAAGTAGTAGAATTCCTTCTTTTCTGTGACTGAACAGTAATTCATGTATGTGTTTGTGTGTGTGTGTGTGTGTATCACATTTTCTTTGCTATTTTGTTGGAGGGGGGCACCACACAACTTGTGGGATCTTAGTTCTCTGACCAAGGATTGAACCTGGGCCCTTGGCAGTGAAAACGCAGAGTCCTAAACACTGGACTGTTGGGGAAATCCCTATATCACATTTTCTTTATCCATTCTTCCCTCAGTAGACACCTACGTTGTTTCTGTGTTTTGGCTATTGTAAATAATGCTGCAGTGAACATGGAAGTGCGGGTATCGCTTCAAGATAATGGTTTCTTTTCTTTCAGATATATAACCAGAAGTGGGATTCGGGGTTACTGATGAACACTCCCATATTTATTTGGGCAGTACCTATGTTAATAAACTTCTATTTGTTTTTCTCTTCATAATCTGTCTTTGGCCAGTCAAATTTATAGGGTTCTGGGTACAGAACCCAGGATTTTTTTCCTCTTTTAAAAGGGACATTGAAAAAAAAAATAAATAAAATAAAAAATAAAAGGGACATTGATCTGCTGAATCCTGTCCCAGTTTTACCTAATCACTCCTCTAAAGAGGTTCAAACAAGCCAGAATACTTATACCAAACAGAGCTTAAGTCTCTAACCCTTCCACCTTCTTTGCCCTTTCTTGCAAATGTCACCTCAAGTCAGACATTTTAGAAAACTATGTATATATGCATCGTTTATTTCTAAAAGTGATATACATTGCTAACTATATTTGTCTTTAGAGTCTAAGTAAAAAGTATTCTTGGCTAAATATTCTTTCTCAGAGCATATTTGAACATGAGAAGTCCATTTTGAACCTAAATAAGAAAATTACTTAATTCTCCTTTTGTCTAACATTTTCCTAGTCTAAAATAAATAAATATAAAATAAATAGACATAAATATAAAATAAACATAAGTCATTAGTACAAAAAGGCAAGAAATGTACATTAAAATGATGTATAATATAACCACATTTATTAAACAATGTATGCCAATATATAGGGCAAAGTTCAACAACGCAAAAGTGCATTTTTGCAACAACTTAATATTACAATTACAAATAATAACCTATTCCTCTTTCATATTACTGAGCCTACCCCGTGTTATAACCAGAATAATAATACAGAACAGGCATTTGACAGAACTAGTTTTCTTCCTATAAAGAAACAACAAATGAGTTTTTGCTGGAACCTTCTCAACAGAGATTTCAATAAGGCATAAACAGAAAAAAATTTTAAAAATAAGGTATAAACAAAGTTTCTTAACTAGAAGAGGCTATATAACAAAGTACATTTCACATGTGAAGTTTCATATCACTCTTCAGAAATTCCAGCATAGAAAGAAAGAAGGTTTTTCCTTCAGCAACCAAGGGGATAAATAAGATCACCTCAAAATCCTTCCTAGCTCTAGGGTTTGTGAAAATATCAGGCTATTTTGATAGATTTAAAAGGTTTCAGGTTACTGAAGTAACCCTGCCTTTGCTCACTCAGTTCAGTTCAGTCGCTGTCGTGTCCAACTCTTTGCGACCCCATGAACCACAGCACGCCAGGCCTCCCTGTCCATCACACACTCCCAGAGTCCACCCAAACCCATGTCCATTGAGTCGGTGTTGCTATCCAACCATCTCATACTCTGTCATCCCCTTCTCCTCCTGCCTTCAAGCTTTCCCAGCATCAGGGTCTTTTCAAATGAGCCAGCTCTTTGCATCAGGTGGCCAAAGTATTGTAGTTTCAGCTTCAACATCAGTCCTTCCAATGAACACTCAGGACTGATCTCCTTTAGGATGGACTGGTTGTATCTCCTTGCAGTCCAAAGCACTCTCAAGAGTCTTCTCCAACACCACAGTTCAAAAGCATCAATCCTTCTGTGCTCAGCTTTCTTTATAGTCCAACTCTCACATCCAGACATGACCACTGGAAAAACCATAGCCTTGACTAGATGGACCTTTGTTGACAAAGTAATGTCTCTGCTTTTTATTATGCTGTTTAGGCTGGTCATAACTTTCCTTCCAAGGAGTAAGCGTCTTTTAATTTCATGGCTGCAATTACCATCTGCAGTGATTTTGGAGCCCAGAAAAATAAAGTCAGCCACTGTTTCCCCATCTATTTGCCAGACCAGATGCCATGATCTTAGTTTTCTGAATGTTGAACTTTAAGCCAACTTTTTCACTCTCCTCTTTCACTTTCATCAAGAGGCTCTTTAGTTCTTGTTCACTTTTTGCCATAAGGGTGGTGTCGTCTGCATATCTGAGGTTATTGATGTTTCTCCTGGCAATCTTGATTCCAGCTTGTACTCTGCATATAAGTTAAATAAGCGGGGTGACAATATACAGCCTTGACATACTCCTTTTCCTATTTGGAACCAGTCTGTTGTTCCATGTCCAGTTCTAACTGTTGCTTCCTGACCTGCATACAGGTTTCTCAAGAGGCAGGTCAGGTGGTCTGGTATTCCCATCTCTTTCAGAATTTTCCAGTTTATTGTGATCCACACAGTCAAAGCCTTTGCTCACTAATAGCATTAATAACGCATCTCCATGGCACTAGTATAAATTTGTTTAAAACACTTAGGAAACTCATCTTTGTAAAAGCGAAAGGAGTAATACACAAACTACACATGGGAGTTCTGTTGCATACCTATCAGATGTGTGAAATCGGATCCAGTAAACTAATGGCCTTTCTGGGCTTGAGTTTTAAACTGAGTTCAGGGGTGTTGGAACTTACAAATAGGTTGATATGTGAATCGCACAAGCAGAACTCTTCTCATCACTACGATGAACAACTACAGTAACTAAGTATACCTGAAAGATTGAAAGCAGGCAGAAAAGGGGACCACAGAGGATGAGATGGTAGGATGGCATCACCAACTCAATGGACATGAGTTTGAGCAAGCTCCAGGAGTTGCTGATGGCCAGGGAAGCCTGGCATGCTGCAGTCGGTGGGGTTGCAGAGAGGCAGACATGATTGACCTACTGAACAAAAAACAAATACCTGAACACACTACTAACCAGAGAATAAACCGAGGAAATTTGGTGAGAAACTTGCCTTGAGAGAGGAGCCTACTATACAGAAGGGGGAAACAGAATCAAAGCACAACTGAGGCCTGTATCACATACCTATCAGAAGTGTGAAGTCAGTGTCTATTCTTTCTCTGTTCTTGCACTCTGGATCCACACCGAGGCAATGTATGAGCGGTTGATCACGACCTCTGACTTTCTTACCAAACTGTGAACTGAAAAGGAAAGAAAATACTGTTGAATACACTTGCCAGAGATGCAAATTACCTTTCCTCAGTAAGAATCAGCATGAAAAACATGAGGAAACAAAACAAAAATCATACCAGTCTTCTTCTAGATGCAATAAAAAAAGCGATCCAGCCACACTAGCTACCCTTAGGAGAAATAAGTCTAAATATACAGATGGTCTGGAAGTTATACTGCAAACACACTGTGATATAACCCACTGTGACCCTTTAGTCACCTCCTAGAGTATTTTGCTGGGATTGAGGCTTGTGTTCAAACACTGATAAGCCTTTCTGCTTACCTAAACTACTGTCCCAGAGATTCCTGAAATAAATAACCTGTTAGCCCTGCATCTACAAATACACATTCTCCCGCTTACCACTTACTGATTCCCATGAGGGATGAGTGTCCTGGCACAAGAGACATATGACAGTTTAGGGTTTGTTCAGCACTCTTAGTCACCTAGCTAGAAACAAGTTACAAAACTGGACGGAGCCACTTAAGATGCTCTGTAGGGAACAGTCTACACATACTGGATCCATATTACAGGAGCACACACTTTGTATGAATAGTTGAAACCTGGATTTATTCAAAGTGGCAAGGGTCTTCAACCAACCCCTAATATGTAAATCATCAAGGTAATTCTTCCCCTAACCCTGACCAATAATAACAAAGTGACAGAATATATCACATCCCGGTCCCAAGGAAACAGGGGCCAGGCCATATGACTGAGAATCTCCTAGAGGGCTATGGACATGGACTCAGATATGGACGGCTGCCTTTTCATGTCCTCTTATCTATGTTCTTTATGCCAAGGAGAAGCCCCCCAAAGGAGGAGACACCTTTCCCACAACACGCTGGTGGACCACTTGGAACACTCTTGGTCTCCATGGGCCGTTCTTCATCTGCAAAGGTGGAGGGAGAGACCATGCTCCAGAGGATGGATATAATTTCTGGAGCATCAGTGTCATCAAGTGGGAGATTTTTGAGCTAGTCCGCCAGACCCTGCCTGTGGATCCTGCTGGAGAAGGCCTGTGAGGGGAGAAAGGGAATGTCTGAAGTGCTCAGAGGATTCTGGGTGAACCTGGCTGCCAGGTACCCCTCCAGAGCAGGTGTGGAAGGGAAGGCAGTGGTGTTCTAGGGCCTGGCTCTCACATAGAGGAGCCCAAGACTGCCAGGACCTCGGGGCGCCATGTTCAGGAACAGGTGCTAAAGCTCCTGACCCAGGGCCTCTGCCTAGGTGATCCTTGCCCTTCCTGCATGAAGGCTACTTTGATAGCTTTAAAAGGTCTCAGGTTACTGAAGTAACCCTGCCTTTTTTCATTCTTGCCATTAAGTATGCACCTCCATGGCACCAGTGTAAACTGGATTAATATACTTCAGAAAATCATCTTTGTAAAAGGCAAAGGAGTAAAACACAAAGTGTACCTGGGAGTTCTATTCCATACCTATCAGATGTGTGAAATCAGCTCCAGTAAAATAACAGCCTTTTCTGGGCTTGAGTTTAAAATGAGTTCAGGGGTGCTGGAACTTACAAATAGGTTGATACTTGAATCACACAGGAGGAACTCATGACATCATTACGATGAAAAAGTATAGCAAAGAAGTATACCTGAAAGACTGAAGGCAGGAGGAGAAGGGGACGACAGAGAATGAGATGGTTGAATGGCATCACAGACACAATGGACAGGAGGAGTTCGAGCAAGCTCTGAGAGATGGTGAAGGATAGGGAAGCCTGGTGGGCTGCAGTCCATGGGGTCACAAAGAGTTGGATAGGACTGAGCAGAAGTACCAGAACACACTACTATCCAGACACTGACCAGAGGAAATTCGGTAAGAGACCTGCCTTGAGAGAGGAGCCTACTGTACAGAAGGGACAACAGAATCAAAACACAACTGAGGGCTGTATTACATACCCAATAGAATTGTGAAGTCAGTGTCTGCTCTTCATCTCTGTTTGTACTTTGGGAACACAACAAGCCTAAATGAGCTGTTCATCACGCCTTTTGATTTTCTGACTACACCTAAAAAGAAAGAAAATACTGTTGAATACATTTGCCACAGGTACAAATTAACTTTCCTCAGGAATTCAGGAAGAAAAGCAAGAAATAAAATAACACACTAGTCTTCTAGTTCCATTAAAAAAAAAAAAATCAATTCAGCCACTACCTATCCTTAGGAGAAATAAGCCTAAATGTCGAGATGGTCTGGACTTTATACTGCAAAGCCATTGTGATGTAACCCACTGTGACCATTTAGTCACTTCAAAGAGTGACCTCTTTCCTCAAGACTCCAGTAGAGCCAACCCTCCTATAGGGCTTGGGAGGCTCTTGGGCCTCCAGGGGCCTTTTTTGACCCACAAAGGGTGGAGGGAGAGAGAATGCTGGAGATAATGGTAGCATTTCTGGAGCAATAGTGCCATCAAGTGGATGCATTTTTGAACATGGCCTCCCACCCCTGCCTGTGGTCCTGCTGGGAAAGGCCTGTGAGGGGCGGAAAGGAGGTATCGGAACACTCAGAAGATTCTGGGAAAACCTCCCTGCAGGACACGCCTCCAGAGCAGGTGTGGAAGGGACAGGTCATCCTGCCTGGGCCCAGAATGGCACACCAAGGAATCTATGACTGTCAAACCACTGGGGGCAGGGCCTCGGCAGTCGCCATATTCAAGAACAAGGAGCTGAAGCTCCAGTTCCTAGTGTTTTAAGTCCCCAATTTCTGAGACTACATGACCTAAATGACCCAGACTTTTCAAGGAGCAAGCTGAGTTACAGAGGCAGAAGGAGCATGAGGTTGTGTAAAATTTTAACTTTTCCTCTTAACACTACCTACCCTTAGGAGAAATAAGCCTAAATGCACAGATAGTCTTGACTTTGTACTGCAAAGCTATTGTGATGTAACCCAATGTGACCATTTAGTGACTTCATAGAGTACTTTGCTGGGATTGAGGCTTGTGGGTTAGCATAATGATGAGCCTTTCTGCTTACCTAAACTACTGGCCCTGAGGTTCCTAAAATAAATAACCAATTAGCCCTGCATCCACAGATACAGAAACTTCTTCCAAGTTATAATTTACTGAGAACTTCCAGATGTTTAGAAAAGGCAGAGGAACCAGAAATCAAATTGCCAACATCCGCTGGATCATTGAAAAAGCAAGAGGGTTCCAGAAAAATTTCTACTTTTGCTTTATTGACTACGCCAAAACCTTTGACTGTGTGGATCACAACAAACTATGGAAAATTCTGAAAGAGATGGGAATACCAGACCACCTGACCTGCCTCCTGAGAAACCTGTATGCAGGTCAGGAAGCAACAGTTAGAACTGGACATGGAACAACAGACTGGCTCCAAATAGGAAAA